AGAAGTCAAAGATCGCTAAGAAGAAAAAAAAAACAGAGTTTATTCTATTTGGAGAGAGAAATTCGCGGCGACACGGAACACCTCCGATTACGGCTTCACAAATGATAAAATGGATCGGTAAAGGAATGAGGAATTATTTCAGTTCGATTCGATTGTTGGGTGATACTCGATACGAAGAGGGGATTTAGGCATGGTTCGCGTCGAGGCCTACATTTTTTTTTAACAACCCAACTATTATATCACATTTGGTCCGTTAAGGAATTAGTCCGAAAACCGTTTTCAGCTGGTTTGGTATGAATAATTTGGGAGAAAATACTGCCTCTTGCTCGAGCTCTTTTTGTTAGATTATCCGCTCGGACATTTGAACTTCTGGGGATATGCGAGAGAGTGAAATCCAAGAAGCTTTTCCGAAGGATGCGGAAGGCTTTCAACTCTGATAAGAAAGATGGCCAATCCGATGGAGATTCAGACATGCTTACCAGATCCGAGCAATCGGTCTGAAAGTGTACGGATAAAATTAATTTGTCTATCTTTCACGCAAGACATAGCCCATAAAGGCTCTCCGATTCGGTATGAAGGGTCAATAGGCTTCTACGACAGTCCTGAATGCCAAAAGTCTCACCACCCCTCTCCTCCTTCAGACTCTATCCGAACCCACTAACTAGACCGTTGCCTATCTAGGATGCATCAACCTGAAAAATTGGGAACCTCTAGGCATCGGGTAGAGAAATCAGGAGCAAAGGAGTTAGCGAAGCCTCGTCTGTTACGTCCTCTTCTTCTTCCGGTTAGTTTGCAGTCTTCCAACTTTCTGCTTCAACCTTGGCGTGGATCAAAGTATCTACCGGAGAAATTTATTTCTCGTTGAAGATCGTGTCATTCCTCGCTTTCTAAATATACCACAAGATCGAAGGATAAATATCCTTTTGAGGATCTGTAATGCCTAATTCTTTTGTTTTTCAAAAGAGGAAGCTCATATTTTGGTAAATAGATGTCTCGGGAAGGGACCCTGAAGGGACGGAAAGTTCGATAACGCCTAGACTTGTAAAGTCGGGGGACAGAAAAACAAAAGATGGTTAATAGATTCTTCAGAATTCCCACAGCGGGGACAACTCTTATCCGTTCTGATATGCCTGTAGGTTAGGTTTTGGCAAGTAGCAATACATCCTGATAAAGCTTGCCACATAAAATGCTTCATTTTTCCAGGCATTCGTACTTTCCAAACGTAGATTTGAAGGGCTTTAATACTCGGTTCTCTCACGACATCCAAATTCTGTTCAAATTTTGTTTTCCTAATCAGATCATATCCCGATTTAACCGTGTATATTCCTGATTTATTATGGTTCCACGCAAATCTATCAAGGATACGGTTCCTACTAGGTCTCAAACCAAAGATAAGAGAGAGTCGAGGCCTACGTTTTGACGAAGAAGCTTCATTTTGCCCCTACAATATTTTGGATTACTTTGTTTTTTCAAAATGTTCTAACTAAACGATCGCATCGCAGATTAAACATGCAATTTTTTTTTTGAATACAATTTAACATTCATTCAGACAAAAAAATGAAGGAATATGCGAGAAATAACCTATCACAAGGACATACACTATGACATAATGGAGCAAGAGTTCTGGCAAAAGAAAAATAAAAAAAAAATTAGCCATGGAGAGAAAATCATCCTAAATTACAATTTGTGAATGAATAAAACATCTTTCATTAATTTAGTTTTTTATAAATGAGGTGTTCGTTGATATTTTCCTTTTCTGGTTAGTGGAATGTTTAACATTTCTGTTATATTTATATTCGGTTTCTTTAATAGTAAAAAGTTTATAACTTAATAATGTGATTAATTTATGAAATATATGTGCGGATTAAATATTTAGTTAGTGTAAGGAAAATTGGCTTTTTCAGACATAATTTTTCTGTAAATGTTAAACTTATGCCTAAACAATTTTTTTGGCTTAAACATACTTATACGTTTAAACAATTTGAAATTCAACCCTAATGTATGGTTTTTGTGCGTAAAACTACTTCCGTCCAATAGGTGTTAAGTCGCCGTCAACCGATGAATACATGGAATCCAGGTAAGCCACGACGTCATTTTATGCAGTAGAAGTCGCAAAAAAATCAATGACAAAACGACGTTGTCTAGCTTTTGGGCCTTAGCAGATCACAAAAATGGGCCTAACATCTATAGTAAAACTACGTCGTACTGGTTATACACAACTTGAACTTGAAGCCGCGACTCGACGATTCAGTTGATTTATTCCATTGTCTTCTTCATCGAACAGAGTGTACATTACCTCCTTCGACCCATATGGGCAATAATAAAAGAGCCTCCCCGGATTTTGATAAGTGTCCGACGTTCTGATAATCGATCCTGCGCCACATTGACATTTTGATGGTATCCCTCTCTGTTGCTCAGTCATGTGCCTTGTTATTCCTTCATAAAATACAAGATAATAAAACAGTAATAAGAAACTCGGTAAAACAGATAAAACAAAAACAAAAACGACTAATCAGAACTGTTCGAAGAAGACGTCGACATCGATGAAACGAGAGGTTGAAGAACCAGTGAAAGGGAAATCCCTTAATCAACACTCAGTGAAAGGGAAAGTCGAAACAGTCATGTGCCTTTTTAAAATCCCTTAATCGACACTCAGTGAAAGGGAAAGTCGAAACCTTGAAGATCGACGACGACGAACAAAATAAAAAAAAAACACCACGAAACAAAGTTGTTTTGTTAAAATTTTAATCCCACGACTTAGAGAGCAAAACGATGTCGTAGCTTACGTGGAGTACACGTAGACAATGTTTCACGACAACTTAACAGCGTCTCTCCAAAAGTAGTTTTACGCACAAAAACCATACATTAGGGTTGAATTTTAAATTGTTTAAATGTATAAGTATGTTTAGGCCAGAAAAATTGTTTAGGCATAAGTTTAACATTTACAGAAAGATCAGGTCTTGAAAAGCCAATTTTCCATTAGTGTAAAGAGTAAATTAATCTTGGCTCGAATACCACGAAACAACTTTTTGAAAAAAAAGAAATACCATGAAATAATTTGTGAAAACTTTGTGGGAGAAATTCTCGTATACCAGTAAGTAGTGATGAAATAATCTACCCTACCAAAGTTATTCTCTCATACCAGCGGTAGTCCCCATTCCTTTTAATGAAATGTGTTGTCCTCATATTACCCTTAACTGTGAATTAGGAAAATGAATAATCGACCAATGAGAATTAAGAATGTTCAGCCAATCAGAAGTCTTAGTGGGAATTGTCGACCAATAGGAAAGAAGAAGATTTTAGCCAATAAAAACATTTTGCAGGACTGTCTCTTTTAATGAAACTTGTTATACCTATATTGCCCTTTTTGTCGACAATTCCATTAATGGAAAAGCCCAAAGGGTAACGTATGGTGCAAATACAAATAGAACCAAAAGCCCAGTCCCCATATTGTTCTGGCAATAACTAAAATGAATGGTTGGGATTCTTGATAATTTCAACCAATCAAAAGTATTGGAGGTTTCAACAAATCAAAAGTGCTGGAGGGAAATGTCGACCAATAGGAAATAGGGAGGTTTCAGCCAATTAAAACATTTTGGACCAAATTTTAAGCCAATCAGAAATAAGGTCGATTCTGCTCTTATTCTACTTTCTTGGGTTTGCTGAAATCAGAAAACTGGGTTTGCATGCAACATCTCCTATCCACTTTAATCCTGGAAATTCGATGGGGCTTTTACTCTTCCATTCCAACGCCAAAGGAAGAGGTAAGTTTTTCTTCTTCCTCGGCCTCTGTATTTTCTTGTGAAGTCGCTAATTGATTCGATTTTGCCCAGGAACAATTGGGTTTGGGATATAATTTTGATTTACAAAATAGGGCAATTCAAAATGGGGAGAGTTCATTTTTTTATTCACATTGGATCGCATATGCTCTTTTAATTGACTGGTGAGGTTTAATTGTAATGAGATTTAGTTTGTACACCAAATTTGCCGATTCAGGATAACTAGAACAATTTGGTTATAGTAGGAGTTTTTCGTATAACTCGGAAAAATTGGTATTCATAAGTAAAGTTGATATGCAGTGTCTATATATATATATATATTTTTTTTTTCAGAACACAATGATAACAAACGTATTTTTTTTATTATGTAGGACATTATTCATGTACCGATGATAAATGGATTTCAAGAGAAGGTTCCATGTACGGTATAATGTTTAAGACATCAAGCTTAAAGGAAATAAGCTATTCCGGTTTAGTGGGTAGGATATGCAAGAAGGTTGGGATAGGAGAATCATCTACAAAGTTAAAACTGAGTTATATTCCGGTAGTAATGCAAACGAAGAAGCAGTGGTATATTTTGGATGACGATTCTCGGTATCTATGAGACGTCGTTTGATAATGAGGGACGCAGAAGTGTCTTGTATGTAGAGGTCATCAATGTAGATGGAGTGTATGACTACAAGAAAATAGCTATATTATGACAAAAAAAATTTCGTCACAATAAACACAATTTCGTAGCAATAAAATTATTGTGACGGAGTTGTGATGTTTTTTGAACAGTCACAATACAATCGTCACAAATTTTTTTTCGTAACAAAAACGTCACATCTGTTGTGACGAGTATATCTAGTAACTACTTCGTCATCAATGGCGACGAAAAATTAAAGTAACAAAACTGTATTAATTAGAGACTAAAGAAAACGTCTCAGACCGTCATATTTTATGACGGTTATAGTATCCCAATTCTGTCACTCATTTTGACAAAATTTTAGTTCTAAATCATCACATTCTGTCACTCATTTTGACAAAATTTTAGATCTAAATCATCAAAAATAATGACTAGGGATTCGTTTACCGACTATCAATTACGTCATTTATTTCGACGAAACTTTGTTGCAAATTGTCACAACTAATGACATAAAGAACATTGGCTATTGATCTTAATTTGCAACTATTTTTCGTCCTAATTAACTACTAATTAACTAATAATAAATAGACATATTAAAAAAACTATATTTTCATAACATGAAACCATGATACAAAAGATCAGTATTACAAAGTAAACGTACATAATTAAAAATAAGGTTATACAGCTTTTGTAATAAACTTGTGAATAAAGGATAGGTTGCTCAGCATCGTCCTCGGATCTCAAGCTAGATCTTTATCGCCTAGCAGGAAATCTCAAACTTGTTGTTGTCTTTGCCCGAAGAAGCTTTCATCTGGTAAAAATTAAGAGACTGAAACAATATCTTTGAAATCGAAAAGAACTGCTACCTTTATTGGAGAATTTGAAGCAATATCCTCTTTGTCCTTAGGGTTGTTTGGCTCAAACTTCTGAACCTGTCAAAGGTTCACATGTAATCAAACCAGTTTTTCTGTTTTCACCAAGAATCATCTACTCATGTTGATACTATGCAAAATCGAAAGGTGAAGAACTGGAACTAGGCCATTCCCTCACTCTGCAGATGGCCAACCGACTTAGCTTCCTCCTGCACGAGGAAGAACACAACACAAAAGTAACAGTAAAGAAATCAAACAAACTTTGACAAAACATATGATTATATCAGTCCGAGTCCTGCTTTGTGCGTATTCCAGTGCCAAGTACGGAGTACCGGGAAACAAAATCCAATAACTGAGAGGTTATCATTAAACTTGCTACATATCCTAATACTCGAAGCCACATCAAGGGATATATATGTTGTAGTGGCAGAGCTGCTAGCAAGAACAGCAGTAGAAATAGAAGATGGAAGACCTGTGCAAAACAATGCTTCTTTCAGAACAAACCATAAGGATACAGATACTATGAAGCCAACATTCAAAGGAGATCAAACTACAAGAGCCAAATTTCTACATTCTTCTTCCCATTCCTATGAAACTAACAACTCCAAAACAAAACCAAGCTTTCACGGTTTATTTATCCTATAGAAAGACTTTTGGAACACGATAACACCAAAAAAAACACAAGAATCATTGACAACAATATAGACTCTTGTCACCAAATTTTCTCACAGCACTTCATATCTGTATTCAAACATTAAAAACCAAGTAAACAGCAAAACCCACTCAAAATCTTTGAGCAAAACTACTAAATCAGATAGGGGTTTTGTAAGAAATTTCAACCTTTGTTTCAATGAACAATGAAAAAAGGTACCTTTTTCTTTTTATGAAAATCCCTAAATACTTAAAAACAATAACAAGTCCTGCACAAAATCAAAACCCAGAATCAATTAGATTCTCTCTGTAAGAAATACTCACAGAAGGTACAGAAGAGATAGAGAGGAAAGGCCATACCTTTCAGGTCTTAATGTTCTTTCCGAGCATGCTCTCTCTGCTATCTACCGGACCATACAGTTCCTCGAAAGCCGTCGCGATCTATACCTCTGTCTCGTCTGCTCCTTCTCGAAATAAGGCGGCGGGACGAAACTTCTGGAGGAGACGGCAGGGCATAGACGGCACTGGAAGTTATTTCTGGGGTTTCATCCTCGAAGAAGAACATCTCGATTTGGTTGGAGGAGGTCTTGACGAAAGTGAGAGATGAGGAGCGCTTGAGAAAGCTGAAGAAGACGATGGGTCTCGAGGAGATGATGCGAGAGGTTCCATTGTGTAGGGAGAGAGAAGAAAGGGAAGAGAGATACAGCCAAATCCATCGGACCTAGGGTTTGAGGATTAGTTGAAGGCAAACGATAAAGGGTAAAAATTAAGGGACGGCACCTTTTTTTTTTGGTAAAGGAAAAGTTTTCCGCTAAAAAAATTAGAAAGAAAAAGGTCGGAACTGAAATAAGGTTGAATAGTTTAAGGCATTAAACCTTACCATAACTTTTAAAACCAAAAGACAAATAAATAATTAGGGGGAGTAAAAATTTTCACCAGCATAATATATCATAGCGTGTATCAATTTAGAAACGCTATTAAAAGTTTCAAGATATATCAACCATAGCGTAAACATCTAAACCACTATCTTCTATTAAAACTCAATATTCTTGTAGTGCATCAACTTTAAATAAAAGATTCACTAGCTTTTACTTGTTATTGTATAGTTTTTTCTATTCCATTTTATGTTTTTACTGTGAAACAATAATATGTTGTATAGTTTTTTTATAACTTGAGAAATAACAAAGATATCTTACAAGTGTGAATCCCTAAACTCCAAATCAAACTCTCTTTAATCCAAAAAAAATTAAATTTCTGTTGTAATATAATTATAAAAAATATATTTCAAATCCTATACTTTTATACCCTAAACCCTAAATTCTACACTCATTAATTTTTTTTTATTTTGTATTTTGTAGTAGTTTTTTCTATTTTATTATGTGTTCTTAAAACAATATTTTGTAATTTTTTTTCAATTAAGATAAAATAAAAATAAATTTTATACCCTATATCACATATATTAGTCAATAAAAATTTATTAAATTGTTATTATTAATAGCAATAAAAAAATATTTGACTAACACGTTGGTTATTTGACATTTGTTACTTACCTAAAACTTTATTACTATATTAGATTAGTAATGATCCAAGATGTTCAACATACAATAGCATCTTCGACTTCTCAAAATCAGCATTTACACATTGTTTAATTTCTTCAGCAACAATTTGTCAGATACAAGTTTTTGAGAAAAATAAAAATAAAATAGAATAAGAAATTCATTCAACTGAATTCTGGATGTTTATCTGAATTAAAACTATTTTCTTATTTTTTAAATTATGATTTTAATCTTGTCACAAAATGGTAACAATTATGTCATAATCTATGACCAAACTCAAAAGTCACTAAAATAGTAACTGATTGTGATGATGTATTTATAAAATATTTGTAACTTTGAGTGACTTAAGTTTAGCCACAAAAATTGTATAATTTAGTTACTATATTTGGTCGCAAATCAGTAACAATATTTGTAACTATATATTATGTAACAATTACGTCACGATTAGTGACAAAAGTTTGTAACTTTTAATTTGGTCACAATGTTATGACGAAATGGTAACGTTTTTATGCCTAAATAATTTTGTCACAATTTCGTATAAAAATCGTAACAAAATTGTTACAAAAAAATTTAGTCACAATTTTTCGTAACAATATTCACTTTTTCTTGTAGTGTGGCCGAGCAAGTTTCACGTGTAGAGAGGGTAAGTCTTGTTGTTGTGAATGTCAGGGAGGTGAGCGCAGCTAACGATATAGCGAGTGATGGCGTTTTTGTCGACCGCAATGCTGAGTTTAATGATGGTGCTATTGTTATTTACACAGGAAACGGTTCAACAAAACAACAATATGTGCCAGTAATGGAGAATGACGAAGGTGTTAATCTATCTCGTGAGAATGAAGAAAACGGTGGAGATCAAGATGATATAAATCAAACATATCGAATGCTTGTTATTTTTGATCCTCCAGACTGTGTAGAAGAACAACGTATTCAACGTGAATGAGAAGACAGTTTGAAACTGAGAGTTGGTGCAGAGTTTAGCTGTAAGCAGGATCTAAATAGATTTAGATTACAGAGGTTCTCATAAACATTGTTTTGGCATCACTGTACACAAGTCTGATAAGACACGATACTATGTGAAATGCGGTCAAGCTGAAACTGGATGTAACTGGTATATAAATTCCGCTAAGACAGCTCAGTCAAATATTTTCACGGTTAGAGTATATAGGAAAATGCATTCTCGCTCTCGGGCTTCTGCGTGTACTAGCAGCAAACAAAGGAAAGGCACACCTGGGTTAGTTGCAGCAATTGTTAGTAAAACTTACCCAAGTCGATTAAAACCACCAACTCCTAAAGATATCATGGCTTTGGTTCAAACTAGAGGTCGTGTGGACGTATCATACTCTACGGCATGGAGAGGCAGACAGAAAGCTATAAGTTATGCTCGTGGTACTCCAGAAGAGAGTTTCGAGCATCTGCATTTGTATTTGTACATGCTAGAGCAGTTTAATCCTGGTACGACATCAAGTGTTGAAGTGGATGAATTAGGAAGATTCAAGTACCTATTCGTCGCTTTGGGTCCTACCATTGAAGGGTTTGCGGCAATGAGGAAAGTGATAATTGTTGATGCAACTTTTTGAATAATGGATTTGGTGGATGCCTTGTATTTGCAACAGCTTAGGATCCGAATCATCACCATTATCCCCTATCTTTTAGGGTAGTTGATGGGGAAAAGAATGATAGTTGGAACTGGTTCTTCACTAAACTTAAAACCCATATACCTGACAGTTCTCAATTGTGTTTGTTTCGAACAGGAATGTAAGCCTGATCAATGCAATAAGGGATGTGTAACCGCAAGCTAAACACGGTTGTTGCATTTATCATTTGGCCCAGAATGTGAAAGGGAACATTTGGAGAGAGAAAGATTCAGTTGTAGGCAAGTTCATGGAAGTTGCGAGGAAGTATACAAAGGCTGAGTTTCTTGTGGCTTATGGTCAATTGGGAGAAAGGTATCCGGATGCAATTACATATTTATGTAATAGTTTGCATGAGGAAAAATGGGCAAGGTACTAACTTCCGGAAGAAAGGTACAACATCGACACTAGTAACTGTGTAGAGTCTATGAACAGCGCGCTTGATGATCCGAGGAAGTATGCTTGATTACCTATGATGGATGCCATCTTGGCAAAGGTATCTGAGTGGTGTAACAAACATAGGAAGGAGGCTGCTACAGCACTTGGAGCACATAAACTGGTTCCCTATGTCAAAAATGTCTTACACGGGAGAGTTGAAATTGCTCAGTCCCTAAATGTGACTGAGCTGAACTCGTTTCTGCTTGAATATGCTGTGGTCGGTGGAGATGGGAAGACTTATATGGTTCTTGAAAACCAAATCTTGTTCATGCAGATGTTATGATATAGACAAATATCCTTGCGTCCATGCACTTGCCGCAGTGAGGATTTTTATGGCCAGGGAAGATAGAAGTGAGGATATCCACTCGCATGATTTGTGGTCGAAGTACTATACTACTGATTTGTGGACACTTGCATATGCCAGGACGGTATACCCTGTTCTTCATTGTTCACAATGGGTCTTCCAGATGATATCAAAAAGAAGACTGCCCCAAAACCACATGAGGTCCCAAAAAAACCTGGAAGAAGGCAACAGAGAAGATTTGCATCGGTTCGAGAGCGTGGGCCAAGGCCAAGTAATAAGCATAAGAAAAGGCAGGGTAATACTCAGGATGGAGTCGGGAATGCGCATGGTAATACTCAGGGGAATGAAGGCTGGTATGCCAGTAATGTTAAGGGGAATGCGCATGGTAATACTCAGTGGAATGAAGGCTGGGATCCAAATTTTACTGCCAGTAATCCTGAGGGGAATGCGCAGGGTTATACTCATGGTGGAGGCTGGTGGCCTTTTTTGAACTGCAGTAATACTGAGAGTAATGCGCAGGGAAATGCTCAGGGTAATGGAGGATGGGATCGAATATATAATACCAGTAATCCTGAGGGAAATGCGCAGGGTTATACTCGTGGTAGAGGCTGGTGGCCTTATTTTAATTGTAGTAATCCTGAGGGTAATAGTCAGGGTGGATCTAGTACTCAGGACAATTGACAATTTTAACTTGTAATAGAATGAATAAATTGGTACAACTATGTTAAACTATTTCCAGCGCTGGGTTTAGGGGGATTTAGGGTTTGTTTGTTGTCTCGTGTTTAAAATTGAAGAAAACTCTCTGTGTCAATGTTTTCTAACAATTATGGAAAGCGCATGAGAATGTTCTGTTTCATTTCTTTGGAAAATGTGCTTCCGTGAAAATCAGATACTTTTTATAATCAAAACACGTATCAGTTAAAATCAGTTACTTAGTTCATAGTAAAAAGAAGTTTCTTAGTTCATAGTAGTAGGAAATAGTTAAATACAAAGCAAAACAACAACAATAGGAAATTAGTTCATAATAAAAAGAAGTTGACTACAAGCAGAATACGGAGTTTTTAACTAATCAATAACTCAAACATAACTAGCAACGGATATGTAGCCATTTCCAGCTAGTAGTCAACTATGGAACTAGTAAATTCTTCGCACATTGGTAATGCATGTAGAGGAAGCAGAGCTCACAGCACTTGTTGTAGTGCTGGAATCGACATGCAGGGAAATCGGTCAAGACCTGCCTGCAGATATTGGAAACCATCATTCAGCATTATCAACATAGTGTTCATTACTTGATCCCCTAGTTCTTCCATGTACATCATCCGTAATTTCCAACCATCGATATGGTCTAAGATCTCTAGGCCCCTTGGATAGAAACCATATGCGGTGGCGCAGATTGCCATCATGACTATCACCGCATCAATTCCTGCCTTAGAGGCCCGGTTAAAAAAAGGCACCAAATTTTCGATCTCAACATCGAGAATCATCATGCTCATGCCACAAAGGTACAAGGTGTATGGATTACCATGACTGACCGCCGACTCAAAGAAATCCGGGGAGCAAGCAATTAAACGGGGGTGCTTAACGAATTCAGATAGATTCTCTCGCATCTTAACTATGTTCAACTATTTTCAGCTCTTGGTTTTGGGTTTGCTTGTTCTCTCGTGCTAAAAATAAAGAAAACTCTATGTGTCCAATACTTTTCTAACAATTATGGAAAATGAGTGAGAATGTTCTGTTTTATTTCATCGGAAAATTAGCTTCCTTGAGAAATAGACATGTATCAGTTACAATGAGTTACTTTTTACTTTATCAGATGAAAGGTTGTGGGCCAGACAGAGTAAGTGGAGTAGATGACCAATACCTTTATCAGACATGACCTTTTTCAGACATTCTCAGTTAATATATTATTAAAATATTAAAATATATGAATACATTCTGTTTTGGTTCTAAGTATCGATATTTATCGGTTCAATAAACCAATTTCAAATTACAAGAACCATGAAAATATTGAAATATACACCAAATTATATGAAATCGATTACATTCTCGTAGATTGTATACATAGTTATGTTATGATTAACATTTAAACTAGCCAAAATATGCAATTTATAAATCTTTGAACTTTGAAACAAGTTTTCTCATAATACACATCATAGTTCTATGAAGACTTCACGATGAGTAACCACATCAGGCATCAAACAGAACGTAAAAAGGCGAAAACGAAATCTGATAAAATGAAAATGGTGGGGCAACAAATTAACTAGTACTTGTGAAAAGTTCAACTACATAATTTCAAATTTAATATAAGTATTACTAGTTTTTTGGTTAAAATCGGAAAAGTACAACTACTTGAGAGTTTGTATAACTGTCATACTACGTACAAAAACATATAATACCTCATAAGAAGAAGTGACATGTGTCCACGTGTTATTGGATATTAGCTATTGGCGGTGGCACGTGAGCGAATTCCCCACGTGAGACGGCCCCATTTTATGAGTGTATTACTTAAATAATATTATATTTGTTAGTTGTAATATAATTCAAATTTGAATTTCCTCCCAATACCCAAATTCAGCAAAATTCGAACTTCCCCTCCCAATTTGAATTTCATTTTACATATTTCTATTTTGTCTCTCTCTCTTGGGACATTCCTCTCTCTCTTCAAATTTGTGAACTTCCTTTGCTACAGCGACTATGGACCCCAGCTACAGCGACGAGAAGAGAAACAATAAGCGAATCGACCGCCTTTACCACGTAGCCGATGCAGAGTTTGGGATTCCGACAGTTTTTCCATGTGGTGGAGGAATCATCCAGGAGATTTCTGAAGATCCAGGAAAGAGATACTACACCTGAAAAGTGTATAAGGTTTTAATTATTCTAATTTTCTGGATTGTGATTGATTTAATATTATTGGGTTCACTTTTAATTTTGCGAATTAGATGTTAGGATGCGAAGAAACCCGGATGTGAATTACTTGTTTTGGTTTTCTGAATTTTTGTGTAGAACGATGGCTACCACTTTTGGATAAAATGGGATCACGCTGTCGATGATGAGATTTCTAGGATAAAAGCTGAGATTCAGGACCTGCGCATGGAGCTGAACAACAATGCTGAAGAGATTGCAAAGCTGAAGGGTGTATTGGCGGGTTTAGGTTTAATTCATAGCTGAAGGGTGCAAAGCTGATACAGTTGTTTAATGAACATATTGTTTCGTTCCCAGAATTTCATTTTTAATCTAAGTATTTATCTTATCCTTAATTTCTGAGAATTTAATTTTACCGAGTTATGGTTTGACAAAGTACACTTAGTTGGGCTAAATTATACCAATTTGTACGAGTTATTACGTAGTTGGGCCGAATTATACAGTTTTCTCTCATTTGTTCGAGTTTCCCAAAGTTGCACGTAGTTGGGCTGAATTTGACCAATTAATACCAGATTTTAGGCTTTCCCAAAGTTACACGTAGTTGGGCCGAATTATACCAATTAGTACCGGATTTTATAGTTTCCCAAAGTTGCACGTAGTTGGGACGAATTATACCAATTAGTATCAGATATTATAGTTTCCCAAAGTTGCACATTGTTGGACCGAATTATAACAGTTAGTACCAAATATTAAAGTTTCCCAAAGTTGTACTTAGTAGAGCCGAATTATACCAATTAGTACCAGGTTTTAGAGTTTCCCAAAGTTACACGTAGTTTGGCAGAATTATACCAATTAGTACCAGATATTATAGTTTCCCAAAGTTGAACGTAGTTAGGCCTAATTATACCAATTTGTACCAGAACTTATAATTTCTTAAATTTCCACAAATTATACCCATTTACACCAATTATACCACGTTCTACTTTTTTGGATTTCTTCTAATTTTACGGTTATTTCACATCTTAAGGATTTAGATTCGTAATACTTAATTGAATTACAAGGCGATCTGAGTGGATCCTTACGAAGATGGTGCAGGAAGTGGTGGATGAAAAAGATGAACAACTTAGGAGGCTGGTGTATGAATTTCTTCTCCAAACTCTTCGCTCAGGCTCCTAAGTTGCTCATTTTCTCATCAACCACTTTCTGTACTATCTTAGGGTTTCACGTCGAAAAGGATAAGTGAGGCGGTGCAAAGTCGTAGAGGGAAGAAGATGAGAAACTGTGGAGACTGATAAATGGATTTGAACTCATGCTCCAAAGTTCCTCATCCTCTCGTCCACGACTTCCTCAACGATATAAGCGTTTCTTTCTAAAAGCAAATGAAAGGTTGGTGTGATGAAATGAGAAGGAGACTAGCTAGGGTATTTAACGATAAATGGGCTGTGGTTGAAGACGCCTTTACGCATTACAAATGTATTATTCTCGATGTCAGACTGGTACAACTACCAAGTCTGGTAAACCATATCATTTATTGTCATTAATCTATTGAAAATAAATAAAAAATTTTCATTTCCAAATAAGAATTACTTTTAGAAACGTTTATAACAGAAATATTCAGTGAAAATACAAAATAAGCAAAAATACTAAAACTAATATCTCGATGTCAGACTGGTACAACTACCAAGTCTGGTAAACCATAGCATTTATTATTATTAATCTATTGAAAATAAATAAAAAAAATTATTTCCAAATAATAATTATTTTTAGAAATGTTTATAACATAAATATTCATTGAAAAGACAAAATAAGTGATAATACTAAAATTAAAAAGACAAAAATACAAAATAAGAAAACATAAAAAATTAGGATTTTTGACGAGATGAGAATAAAGAGATGTTACAGTGAATTAAATGAAATGAAATGAGTAGTGGGGTATTTAAAAAAAAGCGAAGTGGTGCTTATTATCATTAATCTATTGAAAATACATAAAATAAAAATCTTTTGCAAGTAATATTTAACTGCTCTTTATTATGCCACGACTCATCAAAACACGACTCCTCAAAACAATTCATCGAATCTATCTGCTTCTTTTACTCATCCTTGACTATTATATATATATATATATATATATTCATGATCTTACAGAGGAGAAATGTCGTCCTTCAAAAACACCTAACAGGAAGAAAAAAAACTACCCAAATCCTTCACAATGGAAACAATGTACCTGATGTTGCACAATAATCATCAATCTCTGACTCGCTGATCTCAGACTCTTCATCAGATGAAATACCCATCCTACTTGCACCGTAAAAGCAAGTAGGATGGGTATTTCATCTAATGAAGAGTCAGATCAGCGAGTCAGAGATTGATGATTATTCTGCAACACCGTACCTGATTGATTTATATTCTGATTTCTTCTTCTGCTTATTAATTTAAATGAAGTTACTATCCATGACCATGAAAACATTGGCTTATCACGTTTCTTGGTCTCTCAAGCAATTGACGATGTTTTTAACTATCGCACATAGTAAGTATTTTAAATATTTTGTTTACTTAAACTTTTGATTACATATCCAATACTTAAAACTAATATATTAAATAATATTAGATAGAGACGATGGAGGATGCATGAACAGATGGACTAGGGAATGCATAAATGACAGTTCTACAAGATTATCTTTTTTATTATTTCTTAATATAAGTTCTAGACTTTAAGGAGTGATGTCCTCCTTTTTTCTTTATGTTTACTTAAACTCGTTTGGTGTTTTTAATTTAGTTTATGCATTATAATAATTATGTTTTTTTCAAACTATTTTATTTGCTATTTAGATAATTTAAAGTTCATCTTGCGTTCATCTAAATATCTATTTATATAATTTATCTATTGGTACAAGTTATAATAATTTTTCAATACTCCCAATTGTTCTAGTTTCCCAAAGTTGCATGATATTGACAGTTATTGAAAATTAGGGTTTCTGACGAAAAGAAAATAAATAGATGTTACAATGAATGAAATTAAATGAAATGAGAAGTAGGATAGTTAAGGAAAAGCGAGGCGGTGCTTGGTGACATCTTCATGCGTAATCGTTAATAAATGGAAATAAAAGCGTCCATACTCAATTTTAAACTGGTACAACTATCAAGTTTAAAAACTACCAAGTCAAACCCTAGGTACTATTAAATAATTTAATATTACTTTTATCACATTTACGTTAACTAAAGATTTTTTGGCGTTTTCAGAGACTACCTAATTCTCCATTTATTAGGGTTCTATCAGATGTTAGAGTTATGAGGGTTCCTACTTTATCGTTAACACACCCAAAACTTTGTGAATTTTTTCAATTAATCACAAAAAAAAAGAATAACATGATAAAATAAAAATACATAATTAAAGTTCATAATAAAAAAACCCTAAAAAAACAAAAAATAACAATACTAAAAGTTTGTCCCGCCATGGATTAACCGGCGTGGATCCTGGTGAAGCTACGCGCAAATTTCTCATAGCGGGCCTTGTCTTTCCGGTACATCACCGCCACCTCCTCCCTGACGATGTCGCCCTCACCCACCAGCGGATGCAAGAGCATCTAGGCCAGAGTCATCAACATCTGGGCCACTGAAGTCGCGATGCACCACGTATCAGACATGAGCAACGGATGGATGATGTTGCCGCGATCGCTCACATTGGGGTGGAAGATGGGGGTCCGGAAGTGCATGTTTGGTGGATTCCAGGGGAACTGCGGCGGGAAAAAGATGCGCAGGTTGAAGTTATCCCCTTCGTAGGGGGTTTCCGGTGGACCGGTGATCGTCGCAGCCCACACGTACGGGTCCTCCGCCTCCAACCCAGCGGAGTATATCGGCAAAGGGTTTCGCTGGAGTTCGCTCAGGTAGCGTCGCATTGCTCGGGACGTGGTTCAGCCGCCGGAGGAGGGTTGTTAGGAATAGACGCCATTTGGAAGAGTTTTTTTTTGAAGTTTAGGGTTTCGTTCTCAGTGATGGTGTCGTGTTTATGAGAAGGCGAGGGAGTGATATTTAAGAAGAAGAAAGTGATGCGGTGCATGATATTTAATTGCGTCGAATCACAATAAAAATTATGCGTTTCTCTATATACGACTAGTTCAACTACCAAACACACGCGTTGTTTTAGAAATGCTAATTTAATAACCAATTAGATAGTTACCCAACAACCAAAGAACAACATTATTTTAAACCGATTAGTACCAAACCGAAATCCTCAAACCTAATTTTATTTAAACTGATTATTCATAACTGTAACCAAACCAATATCCTCAAAATAAATTTAAATGCGCAAACGACACGATCCCACGAGCAATTTATTTGTTCAAAATTCAAAACTCCGAATTGACAGCATGATAAAGGGAACATCTGGGACTGTTAACTCCTAGTCTTCTTCTTCTTCTTCTTCTTCTCATGCTGCACCTCCCCTTCCTCGAATGAAACGCCATGTTGTTCCTACATGGTAACACAGATATGTGATTTATGCTATAGTTCTAATTATTAGTACCAAATAAAACCTATTAGTACCAAATAATACCTGAATCCCAGTTCGTCGTCTGGTCACATACGTACTGACAAGCGCTGGCTCCGTCTTCTTCTTCTTCTTTTCCTTCTCTGCCACCTCAACTCCCACTTCTTCATTGTCTTCTTCTCCTTCATCACCTTGTTCTTCTCCTTCATCATCTTGTTCTTGTCATTCCTTCTCTTCTCCAAGACCTTCTCTTGGAATTGCCTCTTTCACATAAGATTCAACGGACTTCAATCTATTATCAATGCCATCGATGAGGTCGCTCATTTGTAGGAACTTCTCATCCATACTCTTCTTCAACCCTTAAATCTGGTCCACAATCCCACTCGGCGCCGGATATTTAGAGGAGCCATTCTTTGCTGGTTCGACTCGGTTATTTTCATCGTCCAAGCTCATATCTTTCCAGAATATCGGTTTCCCATCATCAATTATACAACTCGTCCAATTATCAGGAATCGTATCAATGTTATCTGGGTCTTCATACCTTTCCATGATACCAGCTAACATATCTTCCTCATCAGAAGATGGTTGCAAGATACTCTGGATATCTTTGGTATTACCGAGTGTTTCGTAGAGGTCCGACAGAGGAAATCCTTTGAGAGTGAATGGTCTGAACTTGGTCTTACACATCCGAGGACACCCTATGTCTGCTCCTTTAGCTTCTTCTCTGTATGTGTTCTTCAGACAAAGTATTGCTTCAAAAGGTAGCAACTCCAAAGGAGTAACAAAGCCAGGAAATGCCCAAGAATCAGTTTCGACGACCCCATTAAGTGTCTCAATGTATGATAAATTTCCTTGAGATTCACATCAAATGAATACCTACCCCAAGGAAATGTTCTACACGCATCGAGATCTTCTACAATCCTCAAGAAAAAGGGTCTACCGAGGGAACTCCCTTCCTAGTCTTAGCCTTACCACCTAACACGCTTGCAAGAAAGTATAAAACACACATTCTTAAGCGATCAGGACCACCACGCATCTTTTCAAGCTTCTCTTTAACAACATCAAGTGAAGGGACAGTTCCTTTCTTAAATTACTTCTTCTTAAAATCAACACTGCCCATCTTCTCATAATTCTTTGGATAATCATGGCAGTCTAATCCAGATATGAGTCCATGTTCCTTAAGCGAATACCGAAACTCCATTAACAACAAACCAACACTCTCTCCTCTTGTTTGTCTTTTCTGTGCGTAGAAGGAGCATCCACATCCCCTGAGTCTTATGGGTTGTATCCAAATACATGGCCTTGTGCATATGCCCGAAGTGCTTGAATTGAGGATGCTCGCTAAACCATCTTAGCTCCCCGGGTCTCAGTCCCAGAGACGCCGACTCCAGATTCTCCACTGCTTTGTGGATCCAACACCGAGTACCTAACTTTATTGCCTTGTTGTACTGATTTGGACTAAAATACATGCTCAGCGGTTGCATTGGCGTCTGGTTTTCCTCATCATTACACGTTTTCTCATTACGCGTTTGCTCCTCAACCTCATTACGAAAGCATAATGGCTCCCACAACGTTAATTGAAGCGACTCACTATCTCCTCCGAATGATGCCATTACAGTATTTCTACCAAGTTAAGACACATCTAATTATCACCCAACACATCAATCAAAGTGAACTGAACTCAAATTTTGTAGGTAATACTAATTTCAGTTCCTCTTTTCTAAACCCAGGTATCAGACATTACAGATTCATTTGTAAGCCTTCTACCTAAGATAAGCAACAGTAAAAGGGCAAAAACGAAGAAGAACGAAGATCGAACCTGATGTGAATTTGCAGATTGTGAACAGTTTAGAAAATCGAAGACTCCTTGTTCGTAGTACCCTTGTAGTTGTACCTAATGGAACGAAATTCCTAGAAATGATAGAGATTCATTTAGACCTGAAATCGGATCTGGTATAGCTAACTGGGTGTGGATATATGATCCATCACTAGTTGGGTTAGTAAATATAATGAGGAAAAACGGCTATTTAGTACCTGAACTGCGAGTTCTGGTACCGATTAATACCCAAGAAATTTTAGTGTGCGAATTAATACTTCAACTCGTATAAATTGGCAAATCAGTACCTGTACTATGTTTTTTGGCCGTTTAGTACTTTGACCAAGTTTCCTTTAGTCAACCCCGTCAATTTTTAAACGGGGTTCTCTCTGATGCCACGACGACTTCCTCGTCACTGTACCGTTGTAGTTGTTAACTAAACGACGTCGTTTTTGATTCTGGACAAACAAAAAAAAATTAGTAAAACGACGTTGTTTTGGATTCAAGAGAACAAAAAAAATATATAGAAAATGACGTCATAGGATTTGACACAAAATAAAAACAAAAAACGTGTTTAGTCTTCTTCTTCTTCATCTTTTTCCTCATCTCTTACTTCATCTTCTCCATCGCTATTCTCTACAGTGTCTTCATCACTTTTCATGTATATCTCAACAGCATTGGTCCACTAAAATTTTATCACGATTTTAATATTACTTAGCATTAAACAAATGAAAACTAATAAAGAAATCAAAAGCAATAAACAATAAACAAATGAAAACTAATAAAAAAATCAAAAGCAATAAACAAATGAAATTGAAACCCTAATTCTCTTGATTTACCTCATTTTTTACGAAATTTTGGCTCCCACTAAGCACTCAACTTAGAATTTTGTTTTGATTTCAACCCAGCTTCTATTTTGGCCAATGCTTCTTGCATAATTGAAGTGAAACCCTAATCCCCAATTTCATTCAGGTGTCACGAGGAAGGAGAAGACTAAACATGTTTTTTGATTTAATTTTGTGTCAACCTAAACGACGTTGTTTTCTACTCCCTCCGTTTCATAATAAGTGTCATTCTGATATATTTTACACAGATTAAGAAATTAAGAAAATATACAAATATTCCCCTAATTAATATACTTTTATAACATTTAATTACAAAGACTATTATCTTTAAATGAGGGATAAAACAGGAAATAAGAGTAAAAAATTACATTGAAAATGCAGAATGACACTCTTTTTGAAACAAAAAATGAAATCTAAAACGACACTTATTATGAAACGGAGGGAGTATATTTTTTTGTTCTCTTGAATCCAAAACGACATCGTTTTACTAATTTTTTTTTGTTTGTTCAGAATCTAAAAATGACGTCGTTTAGTTAACAACTACAACGGTACAGTGACGTGGAAGTCGTCGTGGCATCAAAGAGAATTCCGTTTAAAAATTGATGGGGTTGACTAACGGAAATTTGGTCAAAGTACTAAACGGCCAAAAAAACATAGTATAGGTACTGATTTGTCAACTTATACGAGTTTAAGTATTGATTTGCACACCAAAATTTCTTGGGTATTAATCGATACCAGAACTCGCAGTTCAGGTACTAAATAGCCGTTTTTCCTTATTATATTTAAAGGTGATTGAGTATTTTCTTGCTTTTCCAATTTAAAAATAATTAAAAACAAAATTAATTTTAATAATGCTAATTTATGAGAATAAATTACTTGGTCAACTGGCCTGAATTTGTTTCAAACCTTGTCTATAAATCACATTTGTCTTGGTCTTCTTCCAAATTGTTTATAAATAATAAACTCCAGAGGTTACGTGGTTACTCTTCTTACCTTCACGAGACACATCTTTTCAACATTGACCAAAATAAGACCTTTCGGCGCAATTTCATTGTTTCCCTTTGCCTAAACATTTTCTTTTCTTTAGTTTGACCCCCTTTTTTTTTCCTTTTTTAAATTGGGCTCTTTTAAATTTCTTATTTGCATTTACGTATACCATCAAGGCAACAATACAATCCAAAAGACGAGAGGAACTTTAAAGCGGAAAGAAGGAAAAACAATAATAGAAACAGGAGAAACAGATGTACTCTGCTCTCTTCTCAGAATTTGTTTTGTACTTGTGAAAAAACTCCTCAGATTTTGTTTTGTTTTTCTTCAGGTGATTTTTCTTTTTAATTTCACTTTTCCCGTAATACTTGTTCTTCTGTGTTTTCTAAAGTAAAAAGCTGTCTTTTTTCTTATATTATCGTAACTCAGATCTTGTCTTAGTCCTCCTTGTCCTGTTGTATTCGAATAGGGTTTTTTGAGGATTAGGGTTTTGTAGATCAATCCGTTACTGTTTGATTTCATCTGGCAAGTGGTGGAATCTTAGCTTCTGGTATAGAGATTTCGCATAGAACAATTCCGGAAGAAATTGGCCAGGTTCTTTAGATTGTTAGTCAGAAGGATAATTCTTTAACTTGTATTGGATCTCGAAATGTTTAATTTTGTCATCTGACTGAAGTAGCGGAAGTGAAACCCCTTTGTGTCACTCGATTTTGTTATAACAATTGTGTGGAATTTTGTTATAGCTAATCGAAATGTGGATCT